AGCAAGGCTGCTCTCTAGCTTCACAGTTTCTGGGTTTCCTATAGGTTTTGTGCACTCAGTAGTTGGGAGATTCTTTTCATATGTTAATACTGTCATTTAAGTTACAAAGTTGCTTGCTGTTATTTCTGGCCAGAAATAACATTGCCCCATCTATGGGCTTGTTATCTTTCTGGTCCCTGTGTTAGGAATATGTCTAACCTGGAGATGGAGACATGAAGCCATCATTACCGGATGCCATGAAATACTGGCAGCTTTTAAAGGGCATCAGGTTGTTGGGTTCACCAACAATCTGATCCATTTCCACGTAGCATTACGTTATTGTGGGTATCTCGAAATAAAAAGTAGATTTATTATTTCTTCAGAGCTACAGTGGTTTTTAGGCCTTATTATTCAATGCTTTAGAAGAGAAAAACGTGTTTTTATTACTATTTTTGATAACTGCATTCCATTATAACTGGTTTTCTTTGGAATATTTTTTAATGCATTTAAAAACATTATTCCGAGAAGTAGTCCACAGGCTTTGTCAGACGGCCAGATGGGTCTATGGCCCAAAACGTTTTTTAAAAAAACACCCTGACAATGAGGTGATAGAAATAAGTTTTCACTGGTGTTTGACGAGCATTCGAGGAGGGTAGATTTGCGGGAAATATTGGAAATGTACCCACTGTCCTTGCACGAATGGCAAGTGATGCGACAGTGGCAGATGTCCTGAGTTCAACAGAAGAGTCTGTGACTGGGTCCAAGGACAAGGCTGGATGCTCCTGTCGCTAGAATGCGACATCTGCCTGCGTCAACCATTGCTGTGCGGTGCTTGTCTGAGTGCTGGAGGCAGAAGCTGAGCCTTTGCCAAATTAGTAAGCTCGTGGGACTGTATTTTGTGTGCCTGGGTGCTATTCTATGTTGAAAGAGGGTCACAATTTACACTGAGACTTGCTTTCGCCCCAGTGGTGTGACTGCCTGGGGGGGGAACCTCTAGCTCTATCTACCTGCAACCCTCAGAGAGAGAGGTCCGACCAAAAGAACCGGAGAGGTTTTATTTGGTTGTTCTGTTTCATTTTTTCAAATTATAAGAAAACATTTATTTAGAAAGCTACGTAGGTAGTAGAAGTTAGCGGCTGGGCTCTGTAGGCTCAGGAAACAAGTTACAGAAGCAGAGGCAGGGCCCTTGGAGCTCAGGAGAGGGGAAGGCAAAGGGAAAGCCCCTGGGGAGGGGTGGGAAGCAGGGGGCGGGGCTGCCTCGCTCTCCAGGGGGAGAATGTCAGGCCTTGAGAGTTTTGAGCAGCAGGATTGGCTTATGTAGGTTAGCTCCCACTTTCTTGTTGCTTCCCATTCATCTGAGAATTAAACTGCAGTGTTTTCCATGAGCAACTAGTTTGTTTTGACTTTTCCAAACTGCAGATCTCTTGTGTTTTCTTGGTTCTTTGTGTTGGCCGTTTGAGAGGTAAGAGTTAAATCTGTTGCCCGCCTGGAGCAAGTGTATAAAATTTCACGGCATAACTTTTGTGCTTCGATTTCATTCCTGGGAGGCAGCATAGTGAGTGATTAAGAGCATGCACTGGGAGACAGACAGTTTGGGTTCAGACCAGCTCGTTCACCAGCCCAGTGACCTTGGACGTGTTGCTAGTACCCTTTCAAGTTCCTTATCAGTTCTCCTAGGGGTGTCTGAGATTGAATGAGATAACATGTGTAAAGCATTTAGAACGGCCGTGGGATCCTAGTAAGAAGGAATGCATGTTAGATATTATTTCTGGCGGCATCTTATTTTCATAGATTATTTTTGTTTTGTTACTTCTTTTGTTCATTGAAATCTTGCTACTGTATAGAATACATGTTTTGTAAACCTTCTAATTCCTTTTGACATCCTGATAGCAGTATTGAGGATGCATTTGGAGAGAATGGGATTAGAAGTATACAAGTCAGAAGAATCGAAGAATAATGCATTTGATAGAAGTTCACCAAAACAGTACCAGTAAGGATGCACAGAAAAAGAGGTATTTATGAGATTGAGTTGACAGGACCTGGTGACCCATTGCACGTGAAAGGTAAATAATAAAAAACCTCCCAGTTTGCTAGTTCAGATGACTCGGCAAATGATGGTACCATCAGTTAGGCTCAGTGTCATGGAGGTGGTTAGGGGGAGTGATATGTTATGAGTTAAATTTTGACCATGTTGAGTTTGAGGGTTTTTTTGTGGGGGATAATTAAGTGAAGTCCAATAAACAATTACAAATAAACATCTAGGGTTCAAGAAACATTATAAAGCAAATACTGTGAGTTAAGATTTAGCAGAGTATGTATTTTTAGCAATGATTATAGGTAAAATTGCCCAGCAATAAGTGAAAGCCAAGGGACTTTGGGAAATGGGCTTGAAGACAAAGGCAGTGATTCATCTTTGTACTTTTAGCCAGGACACTAGCCTAGTCCCTGGCACAGAGGAGATGCTCAATAAATATTTATTTCATGACATACCAAATAAAGGAGTGAATGAGGAAATAGAAGAAAGTCTAGGAAGCGACTGAGAGAGAGAGAAGTTAAAAAGATGACCGAGAACTAGCTCCTATGACTGATGTGTTCTGAGAGGAGTCGTGGAGGAGCTCCGTGTTTTGGGGGTGATGGGAGACTGATCCTGAATATGAGTTCCTATTGGACAGGTGAAATTTGTTGAGAGGCTTCTAGACACCCAAGTGATAGCAGTTAGGATTGAATCAAGGTCAGAGAGTCAATGACATGTCCCATATGGATATTTAAAAAAGGGGGGGTTCCGTATGGGAAGCAACCTCGAGGGTGATCTAATCATAAATTCCTAACTGGGCAGGGCATCGTGGTAGTCATGGCCCAGGCCTATAACTGCTTTTGTGAAAGGTTTTAAGCCAGTCCTTCCATTGTTCTTGTGCATTGAGGTTAACAGGCCTTTTAGATGCCAGAAGTAAACCCCCTCAAAGCGGGTGTTAACGTTAAAGAAAGCACATCATCTTTGAACTGTCCTGACATCCAGTCCCCACCTTTCTTTC